GGTTTTTCAAGTGCGCTTTTCCTCAACCTCAGCATTGCTCACGCTCAGCATCAGAAGCCTGCAACATCAACAGCCTATAAGCACCACTCTAGCTCGCCCCGGAGCTCGGATTGCTGCTAAGCGACTCGTTCATTTCACTGCTGACAAGAGGGATGGCAGGCGCTCACGCTGCTGACCTTGATCTCCTGCTGATGAGCACTCTGATCGAGACCCTCGTGCACGCTGGTCTTACCAAGGAGGAGCTGAGGCACTACCTACCAGCAGCTCGGGACGACATAGTGAAGGCTCACCAGAAAGGGTAAGCCAATTTTGACTCCATGATCCGCATGTCAATTGCGGGGCGCTACGGGGCTCAAGATGAGCCGTCTACATTTTGGGCCCTTTTCAGTCACGCACATACCACTGGTGGGTGAGCATGATTGTTTCGCGTGTCGCTTAATCAATCTTTTGATGACAAGCAAAGGTGTCATGCGACAGAGCCTGCAAGTAATTGAAGTTGATTCAGAGGTGGGGGGAACTTATGGTTAAGGTGGGCCCAACTTATATCTGTATCTGAAGACCTGAAGTTGGTCTACGACCACGGCTCACATCAGGCAGCTTCAGTGAAACTTGGCCAGCTTTTTGTGAGTTGTTTCAAGTCTCTCATGGTGGTCTTGAACAGAGACATGAATCTTATATTTATCAACAGTCTCACCTACTTTCTGCAAGGAGCCTCTAGATACTTGCACTATTTGAAAACGTGGGGCCACAGGGCGAAAAGCTCATGCGTGATTCAGAGAATCCTTTGAACAGGACTCCACTTTGTGCACACAGAAGGCTGTTATATGCTCACCTTCTCATGCCGCTGCAGGCGCATCGCCGTCTTTGACCCAGCCACTCGGAGATTGAAGCGCGCGGAAGAGATCTTCCCTGCAGGCGTCAGCAACAACCTATCTCTGCAGTGTGTGGCGGTGGGTCTGTACAATGGAGTCAACGTATACATCTGCATTGACGCCTTGACCAACAAGAGGTGCAGAAAGGTGGGACTCATTTTATTTTAGCTGGAGACTCCATGAAGCAAGGCTGTGTGAGAATCACTGCCAGTGTATGCTATCCTGTTTGTAATACAAACACTTGAATGGTTGAAAAGTGTAGATGTCGACACGAGTGTCTGATATTATGGGACTCCGGATCTTTCAATCTTAATTACCTTGTTCTAAAAGACTCCAGGATGAGGCTTGCTTATTATTTCGATATGAGCTTCCTCAGAGTAATATTCAGTTTTTCATTTTGAGCGCCAAGCACCCTGTCTGAGCAGAAGAATTCTGAGTTATCTGCATCCACATCTCCATCAACATGTGTAGAGGAGCACCTTGTGTCCCTTAAGGGTGAAAGTTCGATTGTGTCATGTCCGCAAACGAAGGAAGTCGCTCGATGACATATGGCTAGATGGTGACCAGTGTGGTGATCAGTAATGGTACCGGTGGTTTTACTCAGTGTCCTTTTGATTCTTGTGAAGACCGTGGCTCAAAAGAATCTATCTCAAAGGCAGCAATCCCTTTCGTCATGGCGTTACGATGGCTGTCAACCCCTAGGAAAGAGCTCACCCAAGAAATTACTTGGGAAGTCCAATCCCCAAGAACCCTTGTTATCCTTGTTTTTGCTTCTTGAAAACGCACAGTCCACTTTCAGTGCCCCATCTCCGACCTGACAGCCCTTCCCGTGCCTCGTGGAGCAGATCAAATGGAGCGACCTGTTCCCCCGCGTGACGCGCTCGCAGAGCTTGGGGCAGAAAGGTCTGTGGGAGGCGCTGGATTTCTTGCTGTCGCTCATCGCCGCCAATCGTACGCTGTGCCTTACGGTGAAGGCCTACCTGGACGGGTACTTCGTCGAGGCAGGGACGGCCGCCTGCAACACCGCCACGCGCGCACGGCTCGAGGCGTGCTTCGCCCACATGCTGGCCGCATTCCCGGTGAGGATATCTTGGCCTGTCAGACGAGATGCCTTTTCGAAAACTGGTCATCCCTCAAATCCGGCCCTCGGTTGCAACCCTCATCCTGCCTGGCAAACCAGCGAGGTGATAGATTTGCCAAACGCAAAACCTCTTCACATTTACTCTTTATCAAGCTCTCGTCCTACACCATTCGAATCACGGCAGCCTCGAAGTTACTGGGTCAACTTTTTCAAGCTTTCCGGTAGCGCTAGCGAAGCGGAAGGACAATTACCGGCGGGGGGCCGGCAGTAAAAGGACCACCAGCGTATGCAAGTGTAGCAAGCCCACGCCAAACTAACAGTTCATTGTCCTTCGCACCCGTTGCCTTAACAAATTCCCTTCTGGGCCTGGGCGGTCCTTCAATGAAAGCTGACGACTGTCTTCTCCGTTTCTGACGATTCCGTCCTGGTTCCATAATGCAGACGCCTGCTGCGAACCCCGTGCCCAACATGGTTTCGAACGACGACACAATGGCGTCGCCTGACGCCCTGGCTTTCGATCCATTGTTCATCTGCAATCTGCCAAACATTGAGGATGTGGACGAGGCGGATTTCGCGGACTTGCTTCGAGCGTTCGGCGCCGAAGCAGCTCAGGACCAGGCGTGAGCAGTCGTCATGTCGGGTGCCCGTGCGAGCCGTGCCGTCCCTTTGCCGCTCTGGGGACATCGGAGCTGCCAAAGTTATGCGCTAGTGCGTTCTTTAACTGAAAATATATTTTGAGAGCGCCCGACCCCATTGTATTGTAAATTTAAATAGAGAGGACTTTTACTTGTTTCTTAGCTAGTCTTGTCAGAGTCGTGTCAAGTGCTTCCACATTATAAAAAATCCGAATTGCTGGAAACAATATAATAGGAGGGGGAATACTTTTCAAACCTGGATATCCATGCTTGCCAGCTACGGGTCGGAAATCCAGCAGTATGAGAAGGTTCGGACTTTGCCGGTAGGTTCGCCATAAGAATGTACATGATTATAGTCAATAAATGAGCTGGCAGAGTCACTCACAAACGCCGATGATTGCTGCCGTTCTCCTCACACCCGATCGAAGTACCGTATACTACTGGCTTGTATTAATGGCTGATCTCGATCGCCGCGTTCGCGTGCCTTTGAGCTTGCTATGTGGCATGCGCCAGGCAACCATGGTATATTTGGCTGAGTCTCGGTTTCGAATGATGTAAATCCAGTAGCTGTAGCCAGTTCATATCGTCGTCATGTTATTGCTTGGATATGATCACGCCTACGCTGACGTACCAGTTTTTATGAACCTCATGTCCTCGACAGATTTTTGCTGCACTAAATGTCCCCAATATTTATTCGATTGTCCTCTATAATAGCTCCTGCATGATTGATTGTAAACGCTCCTTGTCAATTACAGACCAAGATGCCTCTGGGATTCATGTGTGTGGCATGTCCCGGGCATGCGATGGCATCGGCTGTCCACGTGTCGAGCTATTGATCGACCACGGGCGAAGTTTGTATAGGGTCTACGATACCAGTTCATGGCGCTCTGGCTCTCAGTAAGTGTGCATGACCAGGAAGGTCGCACATATATCATTCCCACATTACCAGTCATGTTGACTTACCGTGGCACTTCATTGAACATACCCATATCCGAAAAGTCGCTTTTGCGTCAGAAGCGTACTCTTCCGGCGTCCCGCTCTCGCGGGGATTGCATGAAAATAATAGTGTCCTGAGACAATCCAACATTCTCTGTCAAGTATTCTGCAGTATTCTAGTTCAATACGTCGCAAGCATTCGTTTGGCAACTGGCAGCCTAATCTTTCTAACTCGTCCCGATGCCCAGACCAAGCGCTGGGCGCTTCTTTCCGCGCAAGCTAGCTACTCCAATGACGGCGAGCGCAATGTCTCTCGAGGCGTTTGGCTTGGCGGCTGCAAGCGCTCGACTGCGCATAGTTTCAGAACGTTGCCGGTCGCCTAAGAGGCGTTCAACATCTTCAAGTAAGGATTCCGGCGGCAGCTGTCTTTCCTCCATAAGATCCGCTGCCCCGTCCGAATCCATCGACAGCGCTACATTTGGAGAGGGGATCTGTGCGCGGCGAAAAAGGACACTTACGGCCACGTGAGTCGCGAGACGGAAACAAGAAACCGTTTCGCAACTGAAATGAGGGCGCTCACGGTCAACATTACTCTATAGTAGCAAAGCGCATTTTGAGGATCTTGTACTCTCCGTTTTGACGGCGTAATCGATATCTGAAGAAGAAGGGAACATCTGCCAAAAGGTGCAATCGAAGGATGCGCGCCACAAATAGAGCAAGCAGATTCCAATCGCTCGTACCCTTCACTCACACTCTTGAAATACACCGCTAGAAAGGAGGGTCCGTCAGCGGAGCGTCCTTGCTCCCAAGATAAGGAAGCGGAACAAAGGAAGCGCCCGATTCACCGGGCAATCTCTGAAAAATTTGTCAAGACGAATGTCTGGAGTGCTGCCAGCACTTTGACGACCTCAACGTGCGCGAGTACTCTCGAAGGCGAGGAGGCTTGCATCAGGAAAGCGAAGTTTACCAGCAGCGACGGGGTCCCGGTAACGAGCAGTGCCCCCGCGCGCCCCACGACCAGGTTTGCCCCGCGATACGCCAGGTCCATGCGGTCGGCTGGAGGGCGAGATAAGAGTGTCAGCCGAGACCTAGACAGCGTCCCGATGGGGCTCTTCATTGCGTTGAACGCCGCCTATCAAGCACAACTGCGCTGAAGAAGGCTGAGCCGTTGGAGGCCGGAATGACCGGGGAACCGAACGGCGTAAGTTTGGCGCCGGCACAGATCGAAATTGTGTCAGCGGCCTGCTTTCATAGACTCGTCCTTGAAAGGGACGAGCGCGGGACTTATCACGTGAAATGAACCGGGGCCGCGAGCTCGTAGGTCAGGCAGGCCCTTGCGAAAGTCCAAAAGTTCCGGTGAACCGCCTGACAGCAAGTATGTGGTGAAACTTGATTCTCACCCGCTGAAGCTCCCCTTATATATGTCCCCAACCAACAGACCGTGTGCACTGCAGAATCGAAACACCTGTACAAAGAGCTACGTGGTCAATCCCGAAAACCCACAGCCATTCATTGAAAACTTCCGGTAAAGCAGGAGGTTGTGCTGCTTTTCCTTCGTCCGCGCCAGCTTCTTGTGGTACTAGTGCTTCCACTGCCAAATGATAAGGCGGAACGGCTCGCTGCCGGCCGCACTGCGCTCGAGTGCTGCGTTCAGAGCCGCTGCTCCGAGCGAGCCTGCAAAGGTGTGCACAGGTTTGTTAAGATGACTCCTGCAGGGTATGACAATCCTGTTCGGGTTTTTTTTCGACGTGAACTGAAACGAAAGCGACCTGTGAAGTTCAGTCGGTCGAAGGTCAAGTTTCTTCAGCTCAGAAAGAGCGCCAGACTTCCAAACGTTTCCGACAGGCTTCAGAAGCGAATGAGAAGGTTCGGCTGTCGTCTCACGAGAGTCCGGATCTGACGTGTGTCCTTACGCACGCCGTATCTCCATGTGAGTGAAAAGAGGACGCGCACAGCTGATACGAGTGCAGAAAAGGATGCGGAGCTGTAGGTTCAGCTTGCTTGAATACTCACAGGATAAGTAAGTCTTCTTTCCTCAAAGACTACCATAAAGAGGCCCTCCGAGAATCGGTCCTACCGAGCAGATCAATCAGTCAAGGCGCCGCTATGGCGGTCCCAGCGAGTCTGCAAACAGATGCTTCTTTCGATGCCCGCAAGAGCGGTAAATATACCCCCTCAAAACCCAGCATTTCTCTGAACACTACTCTGGAGCACCGCTACTCTGAAATGAAATAGAAACGAGAACGATTGGAAGCTATATTGAGAGCGAGGGGCTGCGCGCACCTGCACTTTGCTTGCCGCTTTTGCGCGCCGCGTTCTCCCCGCAACAGGAGGAACGGCAGGAGGGCCTCGGGCTGTTCCTCGCTCACCCCCTCCGCGAGGTGAGCTTGTTGCGCTCCGTCCTGTCGAGCAAGTGACGTCAGCACAAATGCGGACTCCAAAGCTAATGACGTCTCGTGAGTAGGAGCCGCGACGTACGCCTCTCTTGGCGCCTCCGCAACAGCCTCCACCGAGGGGTTCTCGCCCGTGCGCATTTTGCGCTCGGTCTATTAACAAAATGCGTGAGCAAACAAGTGGCTTCTAAAGAGAATGACGTGTCATAGAGTTGCGTCCGTCGAGCACCCACAGCCGCTCCCAACGAACTTTAGTTTCATACGATGATAGGCGAACATGTCAAATATTGCATCCCGAGAAAACCAATGTCAGCTCAATGGCCAAGTCCAGCGGAAGCTCCACTCTTAGCGCGCTTCTGCTGGCGGCTTTCGCTCCGGCGCTTGATCTGTATTCAGTGAATGAAGCTGACAGCGGCGAGCAGAAGACGGTCAAGCGAATACATATTCACGACGGGTTATATATCTCTCGGTTACTTGGATTCTCGTCAAAATGTTCAAAAGCGGCAATTCTGAGGTGAGAGCTATTCGACCCCCTGCAGAGATTCGCAATTAGCATCATGTGAATCGAAGCCTTTCCGAGTAAATGTAAACAAAGTAAATTCTACTAGTAATCTGCAAACGGTATTGGTAAAGCGGCCCATCAGGTTGGCAGTCTCGACCACGCCTGCTCGTTGCAAAATTACTTTCAGACTTTCAAATCAGAGTAAGCCACGTCGCAGCTTTTGAGGGCACATTCAAAGAGGTACAAACACAGCCCGCTTGCCCTCTATGCAAAGCAGACTGAAGGAAGCCAACAGAATCTTGCCAATTTTGAAGCCCGCTCACCAGGGACCGGTGAACCCAAAGGCACCTGCTGTTCGGGTCATGTGACGTGCACTAAGTCGTGCTCCAAAATGTTTCACGGGCTGGATTAGCCTGTCACATTACGGGTTTGCTGCAAAGTTGGGGACTTCTGCCACGTGTGGGCTTCTGAACGGGAGATTCTTGGAGGAACCCGGATAATCGGATTCCTCTTGCTCTCCCTGGAACGCTCTGAAAAGGAGGATTCGTAGACCAGCTAACAGATTCATCTTCTGAGTCGGCACAAAAGGCAGGCAACCGTTTCCGAGAAAGCACTGATTCTTCCAGCGGCTGCTTTCCACAGTACGTTCGGAGCTAGACAAGGTTTACCCGCAGAATTCGTAAACGATGATGTAATTGCCAACGAGCAGAGAGACGAACACCTAGTTTCTATTCCCCAGGCACTCACCC